CCTGCCCTCCCTGGTTTAGCTGCAGAATATCCTTTAAGGCTTTCACTTATATGATAGAATTTTTTCTTTCACCCCATTTTTCTTGGTTTTCAGCAATTTCCTTTGGCTTAATAGAACAAATAGACCGAAATTCAAAGCAGTAGGCTCAGTCGTTGCCATTCGGGAATAGACTTAGCTCGATCGCCGATTTGCAGTGTTGCAATATAGTGTTTCTGATGCATCTATGAAACCCTTATCGACGTTCTCCTCCTTTCCCGTGCCGGAAATTTGGCAAACTCTTAGATCAAACATTCGATACAAAGCTATAACAGAAATAACCGTGCTCTCAGGAGCATTTCTGCCAGTGTTCAATTCTGCTCAAATTCGGAGGCAGCTGAAGCACGCTATGATGCCCATTAATAAGTCACATATATAATACGCATTGCTGCGACGCGAAGTCTCATATTTTTATTGGAACACCTACAGGAACTTCCCCCTTGTGGTCACTTCAAACAAAATGATTCACCCATAAATAACTCGAATGGGTCCAACATCTGAGCATACAAACACAATAAGAACAGAGAACTTGAGCGTTTGCTAACTTCTCTCTTATATTAAATAATTGTTGATTGCGAAATTCTGCTAGAAGAAGGAAAACAGGGTAAAGGTGGGTTTAAATCGATGTCGATAAGATTCTGTGAAGCTTGCGAGACTTTGCGAAAGCGCACCTACATAGTAGCAAGAACTGGGATACTTGTTTCGTCTTCAGCGGTGAACCTAAAGGAACCATTACGCTAGACATGATAATGGGCTTTTGTTTGTTGAGTTGCGAAACGTGGATAGGTGGATCATTCGAATGTACCACCTGGCTTACCGCAAAGTCCATTATTACATTTAACACATGTAAACATCAGGTTTGCCATAACAGATACGATGGCATGTAACAGCACGCCGTGGAGGAGTCAGTGCGGCAGTTCCGACGTAGACATCGACACAGAATGGTAAGTACATTCTCAGCACCGCTAACTCATTCTGCATTTTGTGAAGAGATCGCTTGATGCTGAGAGAAATTCCATTTCGTTGCAATGGGAGACTGCGCCTCTGGAAGCGCTGCATCTGCTGCTATCCCGATGTTTTTCCGACCATGATGGACTTGTAATTAGTGCTTGCGCTTTGCGCTTGGGTCTGCTATTTTCTTTAGTACTTTTGGAAACCTTTTATGTTAAGCACACTGTTTTACAATGAACTCATAGCTTGTCTTCACTGGAATCGTAGGAGGCGGGAAGGTCAAAAACTGTACGGTGGAGTCACTGCAAAGGAAAAACTCTTGTTCCAGTTCGGATTTTTCTCTAGATCTCTCAACAATAGAAGCGTAAAGCCGTCAGTCCTGATGTCGGGCTCTATTGCCCTTTTCTGCATTATATGCTCCTCCACATGATTTGCATCAAGTGAACCTAATTTCGAGGTTCGTTAACAGTGCCTACCCCACCTCTTCATAAGTGAAGCCGCTCTCCTTTCCTTCTGCATCAGGTACCTCCATTTTTTGTTCCATGATAGCACCTGTTGCGATTCGGTAATGCCTGAAAGATAAGTTGGGAATCTGAGACGATGATCTATAGTATTGTAACCAAGAGCAGAGACGATTAACCAAAGTGACACGACGGCCGTTCTAGACAACAGACCACTAGGCTTCCTAAGCTGCAATGCAAGGCTATGGCACATGTCCTTACTGTATATAACGCGCGTCTGACTGCCTGTTTGTTTGTATGGAAATTCGATATGAATTGAAGAAGCACCTGCAAAAGTTGGGACTACTGTGGGATGAGGTGGGCATAGGACAAGATCAACAGAGCACATGTGAGCTCGGCAGAGGAGGAACATGCACGGGTGTGGGTGGGGTGTGATGCAGTGGGAACGACATCGTCGCGTCGCGGCGAGAATGAATGTGGCAGAATGCAGCAGTAAGTAAGAAATACAGGAACAAAAGAACCAAAAGTAATAATCGCATAGCGATTGAGCTGTATAAAGAACGCTAAAACTGCAATAACTAGGCAAATGGTCCGCGACAGCCGCATGCGGCCGATCGACTACCCAAAACCGTTCCTACTGCCCGTCTCCCTGTCAGCAGACATCAGCAGCATATTTGGCTCAATCCCTATGAGGGGAAATGGCTTGCTGATGGAGCTGTCATAAGAGAGGCCCCATCAACTGCAACCCATCCAAATTGACAACCCAGGGCGACGGACTTGTGAGATGAGTATTTCACTTCATTTCTTCGGAGGCACTTTAATTTAC